GTAAAGGTACAATTCCCAATGAGAAATGTAATTGTGTTGTATACCTACAATGTACCAATAAAAGAATTTAATACAAAAAACAACAAAAAAAAAGAACAACAATATTCTGGTTGATTGAAAGAAATACGCATCGTTTTGTTTTGGGGAAAAAAAAAAAAGAAAAGAAGGCTGAGATTTTTTGCTTCACTTTTATTGTGTTTTACGACCTTGTGAGGCTGATAATATGTATCAGTGGTAGAGTGCACGCTTAGCAGTTAATTTGCAAGGTCCAGGTTTCATCCTCTCCATCAAAATTAAAAAGTCTTACAATGATCACATCAATATACTACTTGTAATTAAGAGAAACAATGATATTTGATATTAGCCTACCAAAATTTCAATAGTGAGGTAACAAACATTATGGAGGCTGGGGTAAATAAATCTTGGATTAGAATTTTTTTTATTAATTTTTTTTTCTTGGTACTGGGGATTGAATTCAGGACCTTGCACTTGCCAGGCAGGTGTGGCGCCACTGAGCTATCCCAGGCCCTATTTATTGAGTTTATTGGTACATTTTAGGTATACAATAGGAAGAAGGCTGGAGCAAATCCTAATCATCCCATTTCCCCATTTTATAAATGACGAAACAGGCTTGGACAGTATGTGGAAAGCCTTTGTCTTTATACAGAGCAAAGCCTGAAGGTGTTTCTGTGATTATAAAACTTTTCATATGTAAGATGAATTTGAGAGGAAATATGATCAAAAGAGATTTCCTACACAAACAATTTTTTCCCATTTTATTTTTATGTGAAACTATTTTTGGTTGTGTTGGGGATTAATCTAGGGACTTGTGCATTTTAACCATACACTCTTCCACTGAGCTACATCACCAATACCCCATGGAGCTTTTAAAATACAAAAAAACAACTCCCAGGTGGATACACCTGTCAGCTAATCTTGCCCGAGAGTAGAGTAGTTCCCAAATTCCAGAATGGATCATCATTAGAGGGGTGCTTTGGTCACACTTGCAGGCATTAAACATTATCTCAACATTTTATTACAAATTTTCATACATTTAGATACACCAAACAGACTACCCATATTCCCACTGCCTCCATCTGGATTCTACAATATGCTGTTTGTTGCTGTATCATAAACCTATTCACCCATTGTAGTCAGCACACCCCCTGCCCAGGTACTTCAGCATGCAGATCACTAACTAGGATTCAATATTCACACATTTTTGTGATAAAATTTCCAGTGAAATGTACAAGTCTTAGCTGTACCATTTAATGAGCTTTGATAAATTCATAGACCTGTGTCACCAAACCAGTAAGGGATTGTTTTGAATACACTGATCTCATTAAAGTCTGCCCTCAATTCACTCACTGTGTGAGCCAATTCAGTCTAACATTCTGTTTTAATGGTTCCTATATCTGGAACCATTTGAGAAGGTGTTTTAGAAACATATATTCCTAAATGTGACACTGATTCTAGAAGACCAAGACAGAGCTTGAGAAATTAAATTCCCAGGCGATTCTGATAATTAGTTTAAAAACCACTGTCCCAAGACAATATGCTAAAATATTTTCTGAGAAGACTCATCCAGGTGTTTTTGGTTCTCTTAATTATGTTAAATTTGTTTCTATTAATTACAATCTGTTAAATATAGAGATTATGAGACTTCTTCCCTGAAAAATGTGGATTCAGAAGGTGTGGTTAAGACCCAGAACCTATGTTGTCAATTTCATTATTCCTTTTTACTTAGCTAATCATTCAATCTCTCATTTATTAACACATATGTGCTCAGTGCCTACTGTGAAACAGGCACTTGGACAATTCTGGGCTTTGGACAAATAAGGAAATCCTTCTGTCAAACATTAAACTCTTGCCCAGGTCAGGAGATACAGTATGAGTTAGCAATAGTGAGTGGCGACTTCAGTTATCACCTTCTACCCCCTCTTCTCCCTGGACATATGGGCTGCAGTTAGGTGTGTGGTTTAGGCAACGAGTCCAAGAATTGATGGTTTTCACCTCAATAGGTCATTACTCCTCTCTTGGCCAGGAGAGAGGAAGACAGAAAAAGGGGAGGGAGGGAGAAGGCAGAGAGGAAGTGACGTCTATTGTTGTGTTATGAGAAATACCAAGCAGAGATTTTGCTACTTTCATTAATAAAAACTTCCTCTGGATTTCCCATTTATTATTGGTGTTACCTCTGTAAAATAAGATCATTCAGGAGAGAAATGAATCACATGTGGGACTCCTATTATAGTGCAATACTAAAATTATTCAATTGAAACAATTTTTCACATTCAAGTTATTAAAATTCAGATAGGACTTCACATCCATCCAAAGGCAAATTTCCCCCTGAGAGGTGGAGGATTATTGGTATTGTTTATAATGCCACTAAAAAATGTTATTTTAATGGGGACTTTGTTAAATGAGCACCCACTAATAAACAGATATAGGATTCATGTCATTCAAAATGCTTCAGAGAAATTTGCATTTTCTTTATGGAAACAATAATGCACCTATTTCTTCCTCTCTGGAAGCAGGTGAAATGGCCATGCTGTTATCAAAGTGATTTAAGAAACTCCAGTGCCACCAACACTTGTGCAGGTCTCCTGCTCTACTTCCTGCCCATTCCATCAGCTTACCTCTCCATGGACTCTGATCACTAGGAGCAGGATAAGAGTAAAAATTTACCATTAACCCAGGCAAAGAAATGATTTTCTTTGGAATTTAAAATTTTAACTAATAAAGACTTCTCTTGGCTATGATAGATTCAAAATATATATATATATGTTAATTTCTTTTGAAGGGCAAGACCATTTTTTCACTATTATTTTAACATGTTCACAACAGTGGTAATTTGTCTCACTGCTGGGTGGTTTGAACCACTGGTGGTACAGGCTGCCTCATGAGACAGTCATGGTGTACTACTGGTGGTTCAACCTGGCAGGAATGGGTTAAAGGTCACCAATAATCCTATGTTCCCATTTGCCTCATGGACCAGTTTACTGTGTGCCTGGACACATTTATGCTTTGAGGAAGTGGTCCACAGGCAGCAGGAACAGCTGCGTGAATGTCAAAGGCCATTTACCATAAATTCACTTACCATAATCCTGGAGCCTCTTGGCCACATCCACAGCCTCAATATTTGCAGACTTTTTGAAGGGTCTTGTATCCAAAATGAATTCATGAGCCACATATCCTGTTCGGGAAAATTTCAGCTTAAGATTAGCATCATCTTGTTTTACTCAAACAAATAATTCAGCTCTTTATGTATATCAAGGAGGACAAAGAAAGTACAAGCACTTGTCAAGTTAATAGTTGGCAATAAAAATGTCATTTACTCTATCACAAGTGTATCTGAATTTATTTATTTTTTTTGGTACTGGGGATTGAACTCAGGACCTTGGGCTTGCAAGGCAGGCGCAGTGCTGCTGAGCTAAATCCCCAGCCATGTGTGTCTGATTTTAGTTCATTACATGAGCCTAACAATGGCTAATGGGAGGTGAGAGGCATTATTGGAACACTGAATAGGAAGTATGTGAAGATGAGATTATTTCTACTCTGATCACCTGGGAACAGTTAAACACATCACAATCCTTATCCTTTTATACAAAATATTTCTGGAACTGAAGATCCACTGATAGTTTTCAGCAACTTTACCCTCAACATCAAGTAATTGTTCCCTCTGAGTATACCTAAATACATATTAATGTATTAATTTTATGTGATTCCTCAAAGGAGCTTTTGAGGTTATGATTTCAGTCAGGATCTAGACTAAGATTTAAAATAGGCACTGTCGAACATTACACCAAAGCAGCAATGAGTTAATGAGGCCAAAATCTGTATGAGTCAGTCACTTTATTCTAACTTGCATATAGATTGCTTCTCTGGGCCCAGGTGGTCTTCTCCCCAGCACAAACTACTGCCCACCCTTCCACTGGTGAGAATAAACCAAAGAGGAAGTCACTCAACATTTCTTGGGGGGGGTCTCTCAAATTCTATTATCCACCAACTGGTGAATTTTCTTTGAGCAAAGTTTTTTTTACTCAAGAGACAATAATATACTGTACTTCTTTCTTAACCTGCTATCCTGATGTGGCAAATGGTGAAGACACTAGGAAGCAAGTAGAGACAGTTTCTCAAGCTGTAAAGAATAGTCTCAGTCACAAACAGCTGCTGGAGGGAGCTGGGACCTGCTTCGCTTCTTATATAATGAATAAACAGGCAATGATTGGTTTTGTTTGACAATGAAAGTATGACAGCCTGAGACTGAACACACTTAAACTGCATGGTTTTTGGTTTTTTGGGGGTTTTTGATACTGGGGATCAAACTCAGGATCTTGTGCTTGCAAGGCAGGAACAGGCAGGTGCCACTGAGCCAAATCCCTGGCCCTAAACCGCACGTTTTAAAAATATGCTTTCTAACAATGATGGGTAATGAATTGGCAAGTAGATTCAAAAGTAGGTTTTATTCATGATAGGTAAACTCAAGGGAAAAATAGTGCCAAAAAAGGAATAACTGATAGAATGTGCAAGGAGAAAAATCATGACAATGCTTAAGACCTTATCAACTGTTAATGTTAGTACTCTTCATTCCCCTGCTATACCACCCCACTTTTGAAGTCCAGCATCCAGGGTTACCCTTCTCTGAGCCTCTGGATGCCACCCTGAACACTATGACAATGACAAGAGCAAGAAGGAAAACTGAACTTCAGTGCTTTGAAAGATACACACTGATGCACATCAGTGGAGAGGAGTTGCTTTTGCTGACAGAGAAAATAGGTTTCCAAGTAGAGCTTCTGTAATATCTGGAAGGCACCACCTAGCCAAACCCAACCCAGCACTGCTAATACCAACACCTCAACTGCAGAGGCCCCCACTAGACCAAACCAGTTTGGGAAAGTTCCACTTTAAAAATGACATTCAGATGTTATTTTCTAAATCTACTCTCGTGTTCAAATGGAAACTAATGGAATTTCGGCACTGCTCTCCTCTCTGTACTTGAGCCCTGAAAAGAATGACACTTCAACTTGGTGGCTACCAGAGTCCAGGTATGTCTGTGTTTACAGCTTCTAGAAGAAAGATATACAAAGTTCCTACAGCATATAGTAAGTCAGGGCAATCTAAAGTAGACCTTGTACAAACTGACCAGCACAAGATTTAATTTTCACTGAGTAGCTGTCTCAGTTGGGCCTAATGATGAAAATAGCTGAGAGTATGAACACATACCGAGACAAAGGAGTATAAAAGAGGATGAGGGTGGGATGATGGGAAAATAAAAATGCCTTGGGTCTAGTTAGAACCCTTCCCCCATGTGTCACTTGTCTTTCGAGGCTGAAAACAACATGGGAATGTGCTGTGGAAAAAGAGGGCTTCCCAAAACCCTCCTTGAAAATAGGGACTGGACCTTATTTATCCCCAGCCTCAAAGAGGCTGTCTAGGAACACTGGAACTGACTAGGTAATTAAGCTTGGGAGTGCAAAGCTCCTTTGAGCTCGGCAGTGGTAATACAAGGACCATGACTAAGAGAGTTAAAACTCCCAGCCTATTCCCTGAGAATGAGGTCAGGTACACTGAGGCTCCAGCCTCTGCAGGGTCACTTCTGGGGTGGGGATGTGAAGGTTCCATTTCCAAGGCCCCTGCCCACTGACAAAGCAGGAACCGCCTAGAAACCTCTTTAGGGACAGGACTTTGCAGACAGAGTTGGGTTTGTCTCTAAGGTTAGAAAAAAAAAGGAGAATCATGTAGGAAACTGAAGCGTTAATATGATAGTGGTACACTAACAAAAGTTGACTACTGCTGATAGAAACTCCTTGTAGACCACAAGGGAGCTGATTCTAAGACGAGGCACCTGTTAAGTTCTTTAAATCTTTAAAAATGTTATCATTGCCTGTAAGTCTGGCTGTTAATCTGTATGGCTGATAATTAACTTTATAAGGATTTATAAAATAAATGAATCTGATGCTGGCAGAAAGAGAAGAGGGTGAGGGAAAGGGGGTAAAAGAATTGAGATGTGTTATGTACATATACCAATTGCTCACAATGAATATAATCAATAGATCCTGCAAACATGTACTGATAAAAATAAAAAATAAAAATGTTATCTTACTTAAGGTAATTCCCTTCTTTCCTCATCCAAGCAGATGCTGCTCTCACCTCCCAATTCTTGCCTGTCACTTCCTTGCTTTAAAAAGCCTTAAGCCTTGACAGTTTAGCTGGTATTCATCCTGCTCAAAGAAATGGCTCACAAAGGCAAGTCTGGAGTTCATTAGAATGATTGGCTCACTGCCATTCCTAATCCCAAAGTCTTACTTAGAAGGGGTAAACACGACTAAGATGAATAACAATGTCTAAAATTGCCATTAGAGGTTTTAGAATACAATGTGTTTATTGGGAACATTTCTATTCTGGGCCCTCGGGAGGTATGGTGATGCTTGTTTTCTGAGGCCCTAAAATACTAAGTCTCAGGGCCTGGAATTTAGCTCAGTGGTTCTGCTGTCTGCCTCAAAAGTGCAAGGTCCCAAGTTTGATCCCTGGTACCAAACAACAAAAACAAAAAAAATCTAAGTCTCAAATTGTGTAGCCAGTGTCTTCACCAGACCAGAGATGAGATGCTTTGGTTTTATGAACTTTGGGATTGAGTAATAAAGTCTGTAATCAACATCTATTTCTGTTTAAGATTAAAATACTATTTGTTATTTAATTCTGGGGTGAAATGTCAAAACAAATGGAAATTTCACCCATCTTTTTGTCCTTCTCTCCTGGAGTGCCAGCCACACCCCACTCAGTTTAAATTGCTTTGCTTTTTCTTTTTTTTGCTACTGGAGATTGAAGCCAGGGCTTTTGCAGGGCACCATTTTTATTTTTTGAGATAGTCTCTCTAAGTTGCCTAGGCTGTTCTCGCTTGTGATCTACCTAACTCAGCCTCCCAGAATGTCATTCATAAAGAAATCAAACTTTGCATCACATAATTGTAAACATATTAAAAATCACTGGGGCTGGGGATTTAGCTCAGTGGTTCCGGAACCTGTCTTGCAAGCGCAATGTCCCAGGTTCAATCCCTGGTACCAAAAAAAAAAATTTTTTTAATTTAAATTAAAAATCACTGAACTGGGCAAATAGTTTGATATGTGAATTCAATTTCAATAAAGCTCTCAAAACTAAATATAAGTGGGCCCAGAGGAAGGGGCTTCCAGGCCACCATCCCTCCCACCACACCCAGCTCAGAAGTAGGGGCCTCTGAGCAGCCATCCCACTGCTCCTGGTCCAGAGGAAGGGGCTTCCCAGCCACCATCCCTCCCTCTGCTCCCAGCCCAGAGGAAAGGGCTTTTGGGCTGCCTTCTGTCCCACCACTCCCAGCCCAGAGGAAGGGGCTTCTGCACCACCATTGCTACTGCTGCTCTCGGCCCCTGACCCACCTCTCCCAGCTCAGAGGAGGTGATCCACCTGGGTGCTAACAGCACCCCCCCACCCCAGCCCCAGTCGAAATGAGAAAACATGTAAATAAGTCTCAAAACCAGACTACCAGATCACCTACAGCAACCCCAAAGGGAAAGGACATGGAACACTCTGATACTCAACCACCTGGACTCCCTGAACTGGCAACAAAAGGGGATCTGGAAAAAAAGAAATCAGAAATAATTTCTCAGATAACAGGAGAAATTGTGCCCCTACTGCAAGACATGAATAATAAATCTAGAGAGGAGCTGAGGAACATGATGGAATCCCAACATAAGAAACAAATGGAATCCATAAAACAGA